TCCCTTCCATGGCAAAAAGTCATAATAAGGTACTTATAGCAGGAAAAGGGGCTGTGATTGACCTCAGCATAGCTAAAGGTAAAGGATGATGAGAGTTGCAGTGCAACAAGATCTGGAAATTCACAAGTTCCTGAGCCTTGACTTGAAGTCTCATCCTTATATGCCCAAAGGCAGAGCCAGGTGATGTTTCAATGTATTTTGCATTCATTTTGCAATTTTTTTTAGTCCTATGGCACAGTCTTAAATTGCAATACTGTTGACAGACACACACGCTACTTGGAGCCAGGTAAGTTGATGGCCTGCTTCTTGGGGGCAGGAATGGATTGCAGTGGCAGCTTATGCTAGATATGAATGCAAAGCACACATCTCTACTTTAAGCACTATGGGGCAGTTTATAAACAGCACACTTTTTTGCTTTGCTTTTCTCCCTCCCACAGTTAGCCTCATGGAATGTTCTTATAACCAAAACTATGGCCTATTTCCCATCTCGTCCATGTACTAAAAGTATATCCATTAACACACTCCAAAATTAATACATTACTTCTGAAGTTTCTCCAGTCTAGGTAATTGAAATATTCCATCTAATCTTAAACTACAGATATGGAGATAAAGAGAGAAGAAGAAGAACCAGTGATAATCTTCTCTAATTGAGGTAATGAGGCAGCATTCCTTATATTGAAAAATGGGTGAATATTCTACTTCAGTAAGACTCCGCCACCTTCTTCAACAACTTGTTTGACAGCAAAACACACAGGACAGTTTATCTTGAATGCATCATCTACCATCTGTTCTTCCAAATAATGCTTCTTAAAGGCAGCATTCCAAAGGCCCAAGTTAAAATGTTGAAGGTGAGGTGTTGGCTATTCAATGTAAGAACGGCAAAACACACAGGACAGTTTATCTTGAATTCATCATCTACCATTTGTTCTTTCAAATGATACCATTTGACAAAGGCAAAAGTGGTTTCTATTCCCTTTATCTCTGCCTGCATCGAACATTCCCTTCCTTAATCTCCCTTTACTACAAGATAAACACATCAATTTTATTTCTCCTTTCTTCATACAACTTGAACTCTAATCCTTTACCTTCTCTTTCCCCACTTCCTCCCTCTATTTTGTAAATCCTCTTTTGTCAACATCCTTAAAATATACAGGCACTAAACTATGGGGCTAAACATAATGCCTTGCAAATTAGCAAATTCATTCATACTTGTTATTTTTATGTGCTATCAAGTCATCTCCAATTTATAGCAACCCTATGAATGAGAGATCTCCAAAATGCCACACTCTCAACTGTTCTGCTTGCAAATCCAAGCCTATGGCTTCTTTTAGGGAGTCATTCCATTTTGTACTTGGTCTTCCTCTTTTCCTGCTGTCCTCCACCTTTTCCAGCATTACTGTCTTTTCCAGCATTACTGTCTTTTCCAGATAATCCTGCCTTCTCATGATGTGCCCACAGTAGAACAATTTCAGTTTCAATATTTTTGCCTCCAGAGATAGTTCAGGCTTGATTTGATCTAGGACCCACTTGTTCATATCTGCTGGATATCTTTTACAACCATACATAGTGATTAGAAAGACAAGGGTGTACTCATTCATTCATTCTATTAGATAAATTTGCAAAAAGCCCAATGAACGGGGGGAGACTGGTTTGCAGTTTAATTCTCACTATGGCCCAGTCAGCGAACAGTGGTTCCGGACAGATTTACCAGTAAATTTCACACACTCTACTTTGGTAGCTCAAGACAAAAAAAAAAAAAACACACAGCAAAAAGTCAAATCCTATCATTTATTATGATTACCTCTACAGTTGTGGCAAACTAAAGCTACAGACAATGCAATCTGTGGGTCTTAGGTGGTCCCAAGGGATATTTCTGCACTATCAAAAGCCATCCCTGTGCTTCCCCAGTTTGAAAATGGAAAAAAATCCCCTCTAGAATAGCGTATAACATCTTTTAGAAACCTTCATAATTCCGACCACCTGCAGATGCTGGCAGTGAACAGCAGAAGAAGGCATCCTGCAGGACAAAAGTGTCCTTGTCACCTTGCTTTCTTTCAGTTCCATAGATTTGGGTTCAATACTTACTCGTTTGCTCCACCTTACCTATTCATTCATTCATTCATTCATTCATTCATTCATTCATTCATTCATTCATTCATTCATTCATTCATTCATGTACCATCCCATTAATGCCAAGCTCCAGATCCTGACCTGCCATCTGTGACGCGCCAGCACCGCGACTGCAGCCACCTCCTGAGGTTTGGATGCGAGCGCAGAGTGGAGTAGCGATCCGGCAACTTATGGCTCACATGCCCGCAGAAAGGGCTCTGCATGCCAGCTGTGGCACGTGTTCCATAGGTTTGCCATTTTTGGCTTAGACCATAAAACAGAACAAGAGCCTTTAGACAGGCTCCCAAAGTGGATTGATCTGGAAGTCTCTTGCTTTCATTTAGATCTTAACAGATCTTCTTCTTAAAGGCAGAATTCCAAAGGCCCAAGTTAAAATGTTGAAAGTGAGGTGTTGGCTATTCAATGTAAGGATTTCTTTAATAAACATGATAAAATTAATTATCTAGGCAAAATTTGCATCTTGATGGCAGCCTCCGGCTTACCAGACATGGATTAACTCTTGGAGCCTTATCCTTTTCAGGTCAATACAATTTGCTGTACTTTAAAATCTAGTCACCCCAATTCAAACCAGAGATTCCAAAAAACCCTGAGCTAGAGGAGAAAACCTTCACATCTAGACTCAGACATCTACGGCTTAGTTGGGTAGCTATGATAGCATCACATCCTGCTACAAGCCACTAATTACTGGCAGTAACTACAGCACCCTCTGTGCTGCAGGGTCAGAAGACCAGCAGTTGTAAAATCGAATCCATGTGACGGAGTGAGCTCCAGTCACTTGTCTCAGCTCCTGCCAACCTAGCCATTCGAAAGCATGTCAATGCGAGTAGATGAATAAGGACCACCTCGATGGGAAGGTAACAGCGTTCCATGTCTAGTCACACTGGCCACGTGACCACGGAAACTGTCTTCGGACAAACGCTGGCTCTATGGCTTGGAAACGGGGATGAGCACTGCACCCTAGAGTCGGACACGACTGGATTAAATGTCAAGGGGAACCTTTACCATTACCTTACAGAGGTAGAACTCCATACATCTCTTTATGCAGAGAGGTGAAGAGGAACAGGTCTCTTTTTTTAAGAACTAAAACTGTGGGGAAAGGCATTGGTACCACATCACTAACAATTGGTAGGACAGATTCTCTGGGAATTTTTATAAATGGCCAAAGATCTGCATTTATTCCAGATGCCACATTCTGCCCACCTCTGAGTTACCTTCTTCTTCCGTTTGTTCCCCAAATTTTGCCCAGTGTCCCGTAAGCTTTCAGGCCATGCAAAACTGGGCACCAATGTGTCTCTGAACACTTTGTAACAGGCCCATGTGCAACTGAAAACAATCTGTCACAAGTGCATCATATATTTAAAAATCACACAAAGAATACTAGAAAAAATAATTTTATTATTTCTGAAAAGTGCTGTGTCCTTCCTTTACAAAAAGAATCACAAACATTTCTGAAAAACAAAGTTGACCTAACTTTAAAGTTTAAATTCCTATGAATTAATATTTCTATCCTGATGGTCCAAAAATACATTGACAGTTCAATGTAAGTCATTCTTCTTGTGTGGCCATATTAGCCATATCACCTCAGCCCAGGCAAGATTTGACAGCCTCAGTGTTTCTTCTTCAAAGGTTCTCCATTAAGAGATTGTAATTGTGTTCAATAATTAAGCAGTACCAACCTCTAAACATTCATAATATTTATTTTATTACTGTAGATTAAGATGTTTTCAACATTATAATAAAGCCAAATGTAAAATACATTCTCAACGTTTTCTGAGCAGGCTTATAAAACTAAGGGACAGACACGGCATGAGAAGGAAAATATGCCTTAATTGTCATGTGCTCCCAATAATTTTTTTGAAGAGACCTTTCTTAAGCTATAAATAAATACGGCTCAAAAGAGATGCATTGTTTCTTATTTTTTCCCTTGAAGAAATTGTCTTCTCAGGCAATGAAAAGAAAGTGCATTTTTCAGCATGGCCTCTTGTCTTATCAAATAAAAACTGTCAGACCAAGCTATAAAAAATGAGTGAAGATAAGAAATCATGGGGCAGGAGCCCAGGAGAGCCTCCTCAGCATTATCACAGGACATTGTACCTGCTTTGGTAATTTGTAACTTTCTTACAATCACTGGTTAATCACAGCTATTAAAATTAATCCAGATTTCTTTTCTGGTCCAGCATGAACTGAATTTTTTAGTACCAGAAGCCCTTGCCCAAAACTTGATTACAGGAAACCCAGCAAACAACAGAGGGTTGTTTGTTATAATTCCACTAACCATTCATTTGTGGGAAACAAGAGAAGATAAAGGTGTTTGCCACCCTAGCTTAGTTTAGCTTCTAGCAGATGTTCAGATCAATTCTGCAGAAAAATAATCTATTTTACAAAGGAGATTTCTATAATAACTAGCAGCTTGCATTTTTGATACGTTCTTTAACAAGGAGATAAAATCTTTTTCTCAATTGGTAGTGAGAGACTTAAGAAGTGAGGCCAGCAACCTGTTACATTAAAACTGTTCACACAACAGAGCGGTTTCACTTTTTTGGCCCTTGTACAGGGAGGGGTCCAGGACCACTTTATGCAAGTATATGTCATCTCTCTGTAAGGGGGATCTTGGTGCACTGGCCTCAAGCATGCAAGCAGGAAATCCTGCATTACTACTGTGTTTCCCCAAAAAATAAAACAGGGTCTCATATTAATTTTTGCTCCAAAAATGTATTAGGCCTTATTTTCAGAGGATGTTTTATTTTTTTCATGTACAACAATCTATGTTTATTCAAATACAGTCATGTCATCTTCTTCTGGTTGCTGCACAATGGTGGAGGGTGGGCTTTCACTTAACTAGGGCTTATTCTTGAGGTAGGGGTTATATTACAAGCATCCTGAAAAATCATACTAGGGCTTATTTCAGGTTAGGTCTTATTTTCAGGGAAACGGTATACCAATGGAAACTCACAGTTCATTAGTGTCCAGTTTGTGTCTTTTTTTTTAAGCTTTCGCCTACTTAAAGCTAAATGGAGCGCTTCTAATATAATGTCCTTGTTATTTAATACATTATAGCAACTCAGTTCTACTAATTTGTCAAATTCATGGGATTCATAGGTGAAGTTTAGTGTCCGATATGGTGAATCTTTTCCCTCAACTGTGAAATCACCATAGGATTTGTCTTCATCGGATTCACGTTCTATTCCTACAGCCAGAAGGAGGTAGAAACACACTGGGTAAAAGACTTTCCTTCAAGCATATTCTGACAAAGAGATATGACATCTATGTGAGGCTTTCACTCAATACATAATGAACAGCAAATGAAGAAAGAAAAGATACAATTATAGAGGGATGTCAGGCAATACCCAATTATATTATTCACATTTTTCCAGGAGGGCAGCCATATTATTTTGTTGCACTAAAACCACCAAAGAGTTTTGTGCCACCTTAAAGACTAGTATCTTTCCTTTCCTTTTTTTTTCTTTTGAGTGGGAGCAAGTGTTATGCTTCCCACAAAAACCATTTCCTTGGCAAGAGTTCTTTTGACCAGAGCAGGTTACAAGCACAATTCATTACTTTAACCTTGGAATAAACTTTACTTGCTCCTACATCTCACTTCAACAAGACATTTTATGCTGAAGCCTTCTATTTAGAAATATAAAATAAAATCTGCCAGATACTGTGGGACTACAACTCCTATTATCCACAGAAATGCAGTCACTGATTACAGCAATGATAGTTCAACTGCTTCTGAGGCACCAAAGCTGTGCTTTGGGATATTCTAGTAGTTAAATATAACTTACTGTAATATTAAGCTTCTACCATGCATGACAGAACTAGATGGTGGAGCAAAGCCTTATCATATACAGTGGTGCCCCGTATAGCGACGTTAATCCGTTCCAGGATTAACGTCGCTATACGGAAACATCGTAAAGCGAAATAAAAAAGCCAATTGAAACGCATTAAAACCCGGTTAATGCGTTCCAATGGGCTAAAAACTGGCAGGGACAGGGTGGGTGGGGGATCCCGAAGGCTTCCAGGCAAAAGCCTGGAAACCTTCGGGATCCCTCCACCCTATCCCCGCCGCCCCGCACTGCCTTCCCTAG